CTCAATGATGAATTAAGAGAGTAAAATTAAGGGGAATAGAGGACACTTAAAGAAGGAAGCATCTAAGACCATCATTAGTCGTAAAAATTACTAAACTATGTTGGAATACACAGACAAGGATGGGATCAAATTAAAATTACCTAGCTGAATTTTCCTGCTTAAGAATATAGTATGCACGGAGCGTTGATAACGAAATAGCATCGAAAATAAAAATCCCAAGGCATAAAAGTTGGTCTTTATATGCTAATAATAAATTAATTAAATGGAGGTACTCAGAGGTTAACATAGAATGAAATGCTTATTTGAAAAGCTTATCAGTTGAATTTTGAAACATTAGTCAAAATAGCAAAGGTAAGAAAAATGTTGCTGCAAATAAACTTTGTAACATTTATCCTGTATAGCAGAACTAAAAGTACTTCCTTACTTCTGCTTGAGTTTTTGATTGTCTTTCACTTCCAGCCAGATCCACAAGATTAAGTTTGCCTACATGAATATGGTTCTTTCCATCGTCTCCTTTCTAAAGAATCATAAACATGTAAGGTAGTGCAAAAAACATTTATTACCTCAGAAGATTCTATTGTGATTATAAATATGGCATGGGAACGTGAACTATGCTCATTCATATTGGTAGCACTGTCAGAAGGAAAATTCTTCATTGGTGACCATGTTGATAAACAGGAACCTACCCAACAGAGCGATTTTGATAGCCAATATTCATAACTTTTTCGATTTCTTTTATGCTTTTTGTAAGTACAGATGATAAATCCTGAAAATAATGACATAATGTAGATAAAACCATCAAAACTTTTATGGTTGCAAAAATTTTTACTTATTGAGCTCTCTGAATAAACGGTAAAATTGGGGATTGCATACAATTTGTTGAAAAATATATAATTAGCATCAATGTAAAAAACAATTTAATAGGTTTTAGGCTAATAATTTAATATATAAATCAGGAATAATAATTGAAAAAATTAAAAGCCAAGGTCCTTTAAAGAAATTAATCAAGAGAATATATGGAGATAACTGAAAGACAAATTAAGGCCTGAAAAACTAGCTTATGATATTCTTATTTAAAATTTATTTTAATTTTATTTGTTAAAATGATTTATAATGAAATAATTGTGCTGACAGATGGAAATTTGTATGTATAAAGTAAATACATAAAATTACCTAATGCAAAGAATAGCTATAAAAACGTCTTTATTAGCTTATCTCACCTTAACATATATTCCTGAGTCTGGCTTTTCCTTAATTTCTAAGCTCTTAGTTGTATCTTTATTAAGAAGATCTCTAAGTTCCTCCTTATAAATCTCCATATAGCTAGAACGGACAAGATATTGAGCATCTTTTGAGTTTGCTATGTGGCCAAAGATGTGCTGGAAGGAGTTTGGAATAACTCCTCTTAATTCTAAATCGTCTTTCAAACCTTTAAGTAAATAAGAAACTTTAAACTATATTACCCTGTATAGTAAAGGTTTTCCCCGTTCCTGTCTGACCATACGCAAAAATCGTTCCATTAAAGCCTTCCAAAACGCTTTGAATTAAGTCCCTAAATGTTTCTTCGTATAAATCAAGTTGCTTAGAGCTAATTTATTTAGAAATTTTTATCCTTGCTTTTCGTCATAAACAGCATCAAAAGTAAAATGCCTGTTGACATCATTGGCTTTACTTGTAGGGTTTTTTAATTCAATCATGCCTTTTGGAACATCCAGAAAAACGCATCTGAAATAAGGTTACAGGTCCCTATTACCTATGGTAACCTGCATCCGATTCCTTTTTATTCATTGGACGACATCGTATTACCACCTTAACTGACTCTGATTTATCAGGTTTTATCTATAGATAAGATAGTAAGATGAAAAATATTTTGAACATAAAATACCATATTGTCCTTCGTAAAATAAAAAGAGAAACAATATTCAAATAATATTGTCGTAGCAACGAGTTAGTTTATCCATTTTATAAAGCTGCGTAAATAAAAATAAAAATCTAAACAAGATAAAAAGTTTCAAATGTTTTTAATTATTTTTATTTTAGAATAAGATGAATAAGTGAATTATATTTGTAAATACAATATAAATGTAATACATAATACAAATTTTAATAAAAATATTAAGGTTTTGATTAAAGCGCATTTTCTTTAACAACAACTTTAGATGTTTTTAAACTCAATTTTTTGAGCCTGTTTTATTTCATTTTCGTTCATATTTAAGAATTTTGATAAAATCTTATTAAAATAATTGAAGTTTCTACTATTTAAAATATGTATGTAAATTCATTATATTATAGATATTGTTTGACATTGTTTTCGCAACTCGATCATATTGGTAGGAAGACTTAAAGGAACACACCTAATCCGAGTCCATTGTATGCATCATCATTTGCAGAGTAGGACCGTGGACGTGGTACATTCCCAAACGTTTCGCCGGCATCGTAGTCGGCA